GCTGTTCGCCACATAAGTGCTACAGCTATCCTAAATCCCCTTGGAGAGTATGTATTTTTATATTTTATATGTATTTTTATTTCGTCAGACGACATCGACATCGACATCGACACGGAACATGGCGACGTGAAAACTTTTATCGCCTCACGGTTTTTTCTTGACTCATGTAATTGACATGAGTGTTAGAAGTAAAACAGGTTTTTTACTTATTACAGCATGTAACGTTTCTGTTATATAAATGTCACTAAACTAGTATGTATTCTCTAGTTACCATGCAAAATTTGGTTTAATTTAAAAGAACAAGCGGGTTTTTTTTATGATGTTCTTTGGAAGCCATATATCATTGCCATATCATTCTTTTTTTTATGACGAATCGTAGACAATACATTTATCTATATAGATAGTCATGCAGTGAAAATTTTTTACACTTTAAATTCTGAGTATGGGCTCACTCGTAGGATGAGCGATTAGAGCTACGGGTTTTGAATCAGAAAGGGTCAAAGGTCCCAGGTTCAATACCCGCCTCGAGCAGCGTGATGTCAAGCAGTAGTGATGTCGGATTTCACTTAAAAATGTAGATGGAGGTACAAGTATAAATAGCTCTTGTCCGGCATTACTGCATGAATAATATTTCATTACTATTACAGAAAATGTAATAATAAAAATTTGTCACATAAAAAAATTGATCTCTGGTCGATTTCTCTTCTTTATTAAAACATACTTAATGCAACGTATTATTTTAGTGATGTGCTTTTTTTATGTTGATTTTTCGACTAATAACGAATAGTCTAATTATACTAACACATATAGATAATTAACTTTTTATAGCCCGAATTTTTGTTTTACATCCAAAAAAATAGAACAAAAAATTCTCGTTTCAAGTCACAGCGGTCTATAATGTTTGCACTTCTGTGTATGAAAATGTTATTTTAGGTTGAAAAGCTTAGCAAAAGTCATAAATATTGATATTGGTTATCCTGAAAATGCTTTATAATTAACACCTATAATCGGGGCGGGTAAAAATACTTATCTCGAGGATTGGGGGGCATTTTAATGTAAATTTAGGACATTTTTTACATTTATTCTAACGACTTGAAATTTTCATCCCAATCATTTTAATTTGTATACTTTAGTAAAATATAGATAAAATTTACTATATTCTAGTAAAAACTGATGTATACACTTACGTAAGAAAAACTTGATTAAACCTGTTGAAAAATTTATTTTCGAGTAGTATATTTAGCAGAACATGAATTTTGGTCATTTTTTTTTTGTATTTTTTTGAAATCTTTGGATATTTTGCACCAGACACTTTGTTGTATATACATCAGCGAAAACAAGATAAAATTTACTAAAATCTAGTAAAAACTGTTATATACACTTCGATATTGAAATTTTGAATAATCCGTAGTTGAAACGCGGACTTTAGTATAACCATAATTTGCATTATACAAATTGAGAACATTTTTTTGCTTTTCTTCAAATAACTTTTAATTTTCATTTGATACTATATAATTTGTTTGTTTATAAGTGAAAACTAGATAAAATTTACCAAAATTTTATAAAAACTGTTATATACACTTGGGTATCAAAATTTTAAATCATTCTTAGTTGAAATGCAGACTTCAGTATTTTGATAATTTGCTAGAACATTTTTGACTTTTCTTCAAATAACTTTTAATTTTCATTTTGGGCTTAATAATTTGTTTACATTATCAAAAACTAGATAAAATTTACTAAAATCTTGTAAAAACAGTTGTATACACTTGTGTATCAAACATTTGAATAAAATGAGTTCCAATAGCATTGAAGAGGCCTTCTTATACTTTGATTGTGTTGTACGACTATCTTGTTAATTTTGTAAAATAAACTGTTTTATGATTTAAATCCCATTGCTACAAATTTCAAAGATGTATAATTTATATTTAATATCAGTTTGGATACCCGCTAATAGTGTGTTAAAACTTATGCATCATCTTACGAAGAAATCTATAGTTATTTGAAAAAAATTCGAATAATTTGAAATGTGACCTGAAAGTTACACGGGCTCATAGAGGGTTAAATTATTTAAGACTGTAGAGTATCAAGCGAAATTAACTCCTGATTTTAACAATTCAAACCTAATATAGTGAAATAAATCTATCACTAATCTTCAAAATTAGCCGCCAAACATCTTACAATTGCAATATCATTATTTTGTTGAGTATTTTATCAGAAGTAATTGCTAATAAATCACCAATATATAACAACAAACAATATAAAACAAATTGATAACCTAAACTGTGTGTCCATTAACAATTTGACCTTGTCTGCGACTTTGATTTATTTTCTAAAATAAAAACAAAAAATGTTATAAATTATAAATCATTTCAATCTTGTTGGTTTAATGTATCTTCATCCTCATCATTGATAATATTTATTTGTTTTTGTGTACGAAGCACTTAATAATTAATTGTTAGCTCTGACTTGAAAGTGAATAGGTTGCATTAATCTAGCTCGCAATTCCCTAATGTGAAGTTTTAATCCAATATAATCAGGCAGCGTGAGATTTGTAGAAACTCTGTCGCACTCGATTCGTCTAGCTGCGGCTTAGAGTATCAAGTAGAGATAATTCGTAGCACACACCTCCGTGCCGCACCGTTCCGAGTATAGAGATGATTCGCTACATGACACGGGACGACTGTAACGTCGTCAATCATACATATGGATTCTACTTTTGTTGCATGTATCCGTATTGCATTTATTAAGTGACTAATTTATATAGAACACAGAACTTCATTCTAATCTCTCGTTCTAATTTTTCTATGTAAGATAATGAGAAAAAACAAATTCAAATAATCAACTAGTGGTGCGTAGCAACATACCTTAAAGCAAATTGCTGAAACTCCCCGTTCCAAAAATTAAATTTTTTAAAAATTTAAAATCTTTCAAAAATTTTTGATTTTTTTTTTCAAAGCAATCGCGCTGCGTAGCTGTTCTGGAGATAGAAAATATCGAAACGGGTAAGCCTTGCGTCGCAATTTGGCGGACAATCATTGGTACCGAAACCCATAGAAATGTATACAAAATTTATACTTATTATTAAAATCTCTATAAAATATTTTATAATTTTATGTGCTAATGTCTGATTAAGGCAATGATCATTTTTGACTGCCGAATGACATTTTCAACTTCCCGTAGGATAAGTTATAGTAATAGACCGAAAATCGAAAATGGCATTTTTTGCATATCTTCACGTTTCAGAGGTTTCTGAACATTTGGCATACCTCAGAAAAAATGGATGTGTGTGTGTTTAGTGCGCATGGATCAACCGATTTGAATGGTTCAAAAAACATTCGATTCTTATTGATAGGGAGACTTGCTGATTAGTTTTTGGCAAAGGCAGGCCTAGCCGTTACGGAGATACGGAGCAAAGAGTGCAGAAAGTAGAAATCGAATTTTTGAGAGAACGGAGTATCCGATTTGAATGATCTAAAAAACATTCAATTTGTAATGATTGGGGGAAGTAGCGATTAGTTTTAGGCAAAGGCAAGTCCAGGCATTTTGAAGATACAGAGCTAAATGTACAAAAAATGGCAGTTTTTGAGAGAATTAAGCATCCGATTTGAATGATTCAAAAAACTGTTTGTTTGTGTTGACAAAACAATTGCTTTTGTTTTTTTTTAATTTTTGCACTGTTTGCTCATTACCTTTGAAACGTTAAAAACATATCTTTTGCCGGTCAAAAATGATCATTAGTCTCATGTGCATTAAATTGTCAGATATTTTGTATAGATTTTAATGATAAGCACAAATTTTGTTTACATTTCTATGGGTTCCGTACTAAGATTTATGATAATAGCTAAGCAGCGACGCAGCGCTAAAACACTACGCAGCGGAATTGCTTTGATAAAAATTTCAAATTTTCTAAATAATTAAGGTGGTATTCTAGTGTAGAAATTCAAAAAAATCGATTTTTTTTATTTCACATTTTAAAAATCTAACTATCTAAAAAATGGGTACGAGAAGGTTTTTGAAAATTTGAATTATTTTCGGAGATATAGGCATTTTACTGACTCGGTCTCTATACTGGTTTGGCTTCACGCAAAACTTTAAATGCGTTTTTCTCAGAACAGACTTTTTCAGTACTGTTGACACGATTTCTCGAGTTTTAATCGACCGATTCACTTGAGATGTTCAGAGAGTCTTGTTTATAGACCTATTTATTGCCCGAACTAGGAATATCCCTAAATTCCAATTTTTACTATTTTTAAAGAATTCGAGAAACTCGAAAAAACAGTAAAAAAACACTTTTTTTCAAACAGTCGCCAATTTGTAAAAATATTTTTTTTACTCATTGTTAGTTCGGGCGATTGCGACATCAGTGTAGATTAATAATCTTTTTAATTTTTGCATTTCCGATGGCTAGGAGGGCTGAAATCATGTCAAGACTGAGGTGCCAATTTTTTGAGACCACCCATTTTATCAGCTGACAGTTTTTACAATTTTCAACTTTTTTATTTTTTAATTTTTGTTTTATATTTTAATAATATTAATAAACAAATGGTAAAAAAATGGATAGTAAAAACATTTATTGCTTTCTTTTACGACACTTTAAAAATGACCTACGATTTATCGCTCTACAGTAGAATACCCCTTTAAAATTTTAAAAAGTCTGAATTTTTAAAAAAATTACTAACTAATTTATAAAGTCTAATTATTTCAAAAGATTCACAATTTTTTAATATTATTTGTTATTTGTTTCAAAATTTTCAAAAAAAATTAAATACGGTACTGGATGTTCCAGCAATTTGCCTTAAGGCTATGCATTATACATTATATATTAAAATATTTCTTATACATATGTTTTATATATAAAAAAATGTGCGTGCATGTTTTTTTCTGAAAGTACTTCAGCTACTTCACCGTGCATTCTGCGGCTTTCGTCGGTATCAGATTTTTAGAACGTTTCCGACGACCGAATCGTCTGACTCCGCGTGACGCGTCAGCGCCCACAGTCGCACGTCGCACGCCAGGCCACGCTACATATGCCGAAAGCCGAACACATGGTAGCGGAGAATCATCACAGCGATAGCGCATTTAACTCTCCGTCGCGAGATCAGAAGCAACTCATTCGGCAGACTGAAAACACATCTTGACCGCGTGTACCAATTGTTTTTACCGTGTCGAACATAAAGTGAAATCTGTTTAATTTACAAAGACAGCCCATGCAGTCGACGATGTTAGTTAAAATTAATTTAATTTATTTCAACAATATCAGTGTATATGCTAATCGTTGACTTTTTTATGTGACTTCAAAGTTTATAGTGAAAGTGAAAAAAAACCTACATATTTATATTTATATATTTTTAATCTAAATCAGTATTACGTGCGTGTGTGAAAGTGATGTAATATTTATCATGACGTTCGCGGATATTTTGGAGAGTCTTACATCCGGAGATTTCGGCTGGAACCGTAACGTGATGCAGGTTTTAGCAGTAGCTGCCATACAGGTGCTTTTTCGTTATTTAAAGGTTTATACGTCATATTTGAATTTCTTTGTGTTTGAGTCAACCTCATTTTCTCGGTGTCGAAAGTTTCGTCTGTTGTTCGAGGGAATTCCATTTACTTTTTGTATTGAACATGCTTCAAAGACCGCTGAAAATGCAATTCTTTCATCTTTGCAATGCGTTGTTTGTACTTCATTTAGTCCTCATGTTTAAGTTACTTTTCGACAAAATTTCCTCTTGAACAAGTTGGCACAAAGATTTATTTATGATGTACATTCTTTTATTTCATTTTTTTACACTTACTACTACTATACTAAATGAACTACATTACATGAAATATTTATACACAAAATTAAATTAAATTAAAATATAGGATAGGGTCTGGCACATAGGTCCATTTTGACTTGGAGCAATTATATTGTGAAAACCAAACCAAATATATCACAGCAAAATAGCACATATCAAACGAACATCTATCTGACTACGTACAGTAAAACTCCCAGATAATTCATCATCGTAGAAGCGTTTTTTGTTCCATTTTTCAAAAATTTGTCATCTGGTCTTTTTTTTAAATAGGCGGGGTAAAATGGAACGGCTAGGGGGTAAACAGGTCCAATGGCTTATTTTTAATTTTAAATGGATTTTACGAAATAATAGCTACATTATTCAACCAATGCAAAATATAAATTTCATGGGTATATTTATAGTATTATCTCTTATAGAAATAATCATGTATATAACCTTGATCTGATGTTTTGTGATAAATATTCATCAGCAGAGTTGGAATAACTATTTATTAAATTTACTCTTGTGAAATAGCTTTTTTACTTTTAATTTACTTTTTCATTTACTATCTTATATTGTTTACACCTTTTCCAGTGTAAAGATTCCAATTTTTACTCCATACACATCTTATAAAATAATTAAATAACTTATACTTACAAATTATATTAAGGTCTCGTATACTAAACAACAGTGCTCACAACCAAAAAACTCAACGAAAGAAAATACTCTTGTCATGGATTTTCAAACATTGCCGTTTTTCTCCCGATAGCAACGTCGTAGGATCAAGATGATGGCTATTTATGTATCTCTTTCCCTGTTATTTTTTTTTTGCATAGTTTTATTGTCAATCAAAATAAAATACATTTTTTAAGACAATATGATGTTGGTGTTAATGCCTGTTAAATGTTGTTAAAAAATTAGTAACTTCACTTTTTTTTGAAATATTGGTGGTGGACCTTTTTACATACGGACCTTTAAGCCCTGTTCTACTCTATTTAATATTCAATTTGAAGTATATATTCTTTACATCCGTAAGTAGCAGTGATAAGAATATTATTTCCAAGATTAAACCGAGCAATTACTCTAGATCCGATGAATATTAAATTCTCTATCTTCCTATTGCAAACTAATCATAAATTGGATACGATATCTCTGACCTCCTATCGTACAAGGAATATTTGCTTCTCAAACGCAAATTAATAAACATCATGACATTTTAATTATTCATGTTAGATAACACATATTTACAAATAATTAAGTGCAAATATATAGCCAGTTTCTATTTTCATCTCGGGTAAGTCAAATTAAAATATTTTATCTACTTATTCAGATTTTGTAATGAAGAACGTGACTTTTTAAATTTATTGGATTAGATTAATTTTCAAAGATTATATGATCTTTATTAAATTATTGATTATATTATCCGTCATATCATTGAAAGATTAGAATCGCAGATTAATAAACACAAGTGTGTTTATTAATCTTAATTATCAAAAACAGAATTTAGAAAAATATATTATTTAAATGCTTTATTGATAACTATTTATAGCAATCATTATTTGATAATTGTACGAAAATAAGGTCGGTAATGGTGTCTGAATAAGTAATTTGATTTTTAATTTGGCTTCTATGAAAGTTCAATGCTTTATATTATAATTCATCATATTTAAATCTGATGGCAGACATTCTTAAAATGATTTTTTTCTTTATGGTTGTTTATTTTTATATTGGAAATCATTTGCAGCCTATTCATTGAATTAATAAAAAGGTTGGAAGAATAACATCACTTTCTTTTCGATAGTTCACGGGTAAGCATCTTTTTGCCTATGAAGCATTATGTGCAATCTTTTAGCTTTTGATTTAAATTATTAGTTATGTTGTTTTTTTTTTGTTTGGAGTTTTAAAAATATTCTTTTAAAACTATTATTAGTCTTTTAAGCTTTTGTTTTTGTCCTAGTTTTATCGACTGAATGATGACACACATAGAGTGTCGAAACGTATAATCAATAAATATTTAAAATCAATAAAAGTTTTTCTTTTAACCTTCATTATTTCAAATATGTTTCAACGTTGAAAAAGCAATCAAGATATTTTCATACGTAGATATATGTCTGTGTGGGTTCCGTGGTGTAATGGCTAAGCTCACGGTTTCGTGTGGACGAGGTCGTGAGTTCGAACCCCGCTCTGTACAACCCGACATCGAGCAGTAGTGATGTCAATTTTTACTTGAAAATATAGATCAAAAATAGGTCGTTAATTGAAAATAACCCATTTCGGGCACTGCGGTGAGGAATGGCAATTGGAAATCTCTCACGCTATTTTTTGTCTTAATTGAGTTGGAGTTCAACTCATTAAGCTCAGCTCACAGATTTGCCCTATTGCAGTACTACCCATTACTATTATTATATGTCTATATGTATATGCGTATATGTGCATCTGTGTTCATTTTTGTTCATATAAATTCATAATAAAGTTCGAAGTTTTGGTGACTTTCGGAGTTTATGAGAAGTTTCTGCTTCAGTATAGTAAAATCTTACATTACCAATAATGAGTGGTAATTGAAATCAATAAATACTTCACTAATCATTTCATAAAGCAGTGGTATAGAGTCAACTAATAAGCGTTTCACAAGGCTGATTCACTCATAAGAGAAATTAAATACAGTTATTTCCCAATATCGGGAACAATTGTATGATTAATGTACAGCATTTCGCTTTAATCAAATTTAAACAATGTACATGTAGCGCAAGCAAATACCGAACGGTTTAAAAATCCGACGTTGAATGCGTCTTTCTCGATGGATTGTTTGCCAAGTCAATTACCTGAGATTTGTAACGTTAAGTATCTTCATTACTCATTTGCATTTATTTGCCTCATATATTTCAACTTCGTTTGGGTACAACGTTTAAATATACCAACACATGCCCAGTGGCGCCTGTCAAGGATATTCCTTTGTTTGTGGATCGTGATCAATAGATCTGTGTACTAATCATATTATACCTAAAATATTCCATTTGTTTTGTATTGATAACAATGCGTCTTCGCCTCGATGCAGTTTTGTCTCCTGTATCGACATGTAAACATTGACCACACTTCGACACCGATAAGAAAGCCAGAAAATTTTCCTGATTTATTTATATTTACCAATTTTAAGAAGATTTACGTGTAAATATATACTTACACACACACTCACACACATATATATAGGGTGGTTCTTAATATATATATATATATATATATATATATATATATATATATATGTAATATTTTTTTTATATATTCATTGATCTCGCTTACATAGAGCATCTAGCCACTTACATTTTCATCTTATTTTCTGTATTAACTTTTTATGTAGTATTCAGTGTTTTATAACATTTTTCAGACATTATTTTTCATACCTTATCCTAATCAAATTTTTTACTTTATATTTCAAATTTCTTGACTTTGTCTATATACAGTATCACAACTCAATTCTTCAGTTAGTAATTTTCACAATCAATTTTTGTACAGAGTACCGGGACTCGAGCCGAGTACTTCTCCATGCGAATCGCATCGGCATTAAAAATACCATTTTATATGCTTTTCACCACATTTATTCACTACGGTTGGAAGGATGCCATTGTTATTATATTAGATAGATGATTTTTTAAGTAAATGTTATATTTTTGAACTCGTTTTTCACTCCAACCTATGATGGTTGATACATTCTTATACAGGATGGGCCACAAATAAATTAATATTTTTAAGAGCACAATAATCGTAATAACAGCATTTATTTATAAAATATTAAAATTACTGGAATTTACTTTTATAAAATATATTATTCATATAACAACCACCAAGAAGGTGGCCATCCAAAAAATCCAAAATGTGGCGTTCAACTTGTGGACGCGTTTCGTTAACTATGTAGGCCTCAGTTTGCAGATTTGCATGTACGTTTGTTTTCCTGGAATCTCATATTCTGATTATAACCAACAAATGTAATAATAAATTTAAAGTTACATTATTTAAAGTAATTCACGGTTTACCCTGTAAATTGTTTGGTTCGTGACGCACGATGTAGAGTGGAAAACTAATATATTTGGATAGAACAAAATAGATTGAAGAACTAATATTTTTAAATAGATATAACTGGATAGACTTTGTATTTTTGCACGTACACACGTATATATATATATATATATATATATATATATATATATGTGTGTGTGTGTGTAATAAAAACTTTTTGGTTTTTTATTACAATTGGATTCCTTTTTTCAAGCTCAACACAAATCCAAGACTCAACTAACTATATAACGTATACATATACATACCTTTTACATAAATTAATTAACGCTAAATGTTACATTATTTACAATGCTCCATACATTCAAAATCCTTTGAATTTCATTATTATATCGTAACTATTAAATTGTTAATTGTTTAATTGTTGAAAACACGCAAATAGTCTTAACAAGCCCCCTTTATGCATAAATAGCCTGTAATAGTTTTATTCAAATGCTATTTATGAAAAAAATCCAGATTGAAATGAATTGTTTTTTTAAACTTTATCCAATAAAATATCAGCAATATTTTATCATGCTGCGTTGATTTATTAATTGCTATTAAAATGATTTATTTATATAGATGCAAGCAGATTGACTTATCACTTCTTATCAATATGTTTTACGGTTCTAATGAACTCAACGCACTAAATGTCCTTAATCATAAATGTC